ATAATAATAGATAGAAACCTAGCGCACGCAGAGCTGAACGCAGCCTCACTTCCAGCTACACACCCACATTCAAATGACCTGATCCTGCAGATCAACAGTTTCTGGTGGTGAATCACGGCATCAAGCGAGAAGAAGGGCGGATTTTCTTCCTGTGAGGGAGGTGGAGGTGAAGACAAAATAAAAAAGTGGTCAGATTTAAAGTCAGAGTGTGAGGGAACGGTTATAAATGAGGCCTCGGACCTTTATCACACTCTGCTTTTATTTCCCCTCTTTCTTCTTGTTGTTGTATTATTACATATTTCTCTCTCTTCGATTTAATCAGTCTGATGCATCAACGTATGACAGGAGGTTAATTCTGTCATGACCACAAAGCTGCACAACGCTATTTATCTGCAGCCACTTCATGTTTTGGACATGAATCAGTCACATACTGTACGGAGATGAAACCCTTTTGCTTGCTCCTCTAAGGTCTGACCACATCTGTTCAATTACCAGCATGGAAAGTGCATTACCATTGGCTTTGTTGTTGGAGATGCTTGATTTTCTTAGTAAAAAGCGGATGAATTTATAATGTTGTGATCCCCTCTGTTGTGAATCTCTTCAACGGAGCCGAGGCCCCGGGATCGGAATAAGCATTTTGATGAGCTATAGGCCATCTCTTCTTTTTACAATCCCAAACTTGCGCTGCCTGCCCAATATCAAACTAATAAATTACAGCCCCCGTCTCCCACATAACTCACTGATAAATAAAAAAAAGGGTCTGCCATAGTGTGCAGCTGTGACCCAGGGTTACCTAGCAACAGGTCATGCCCAGACGTGATGCACAAGGTAGAGATACACCTCTAAGGAGCGGGGAGAGGAGGGAGGGATGGAGGTGGAGGAGATGGAGGACCACGCGGAGGGAGGGAGGAGAGGGGGGAATGGGTCTCATCCTCACTCTCTATGACCCTTGACAGATAGAAAACGCACTCAGAGGAAACGGGGTTTGATTGACAGGGATATTTGAGGAACCTGAGACTCCTTGGTTTCTCCATTACTGGTTTTTGTCGGCGAGATTCAGACAGAAAGACGGCAAAACGCAGAATAACGCAGCTAAAACATATAAAAAAGAACATTTCAGTCAATTTATATCCAAAACATCTGCAGTGGAAACAACAGATATTCACTCCTGTGTACATGCATGTACACAATCGGCTTCACAACCTCCGCGCCCACAGAGGCGGGTGATGGAAACGCTAACTGACAGGGCTAAAAAGATTGAGCAACAGCACTGGAGACGCAGATCCACAGCAGTGTACGAGGTCTTTGCCAGAACAGCGTGGCATTGAAATGAGAGTGTTCAGTCCGTGCCCATCCCTCCTCCGCTCGGCCTCTGTTGCCTGTGCGACAAACCCTCAAGGGGACTGTGCAGCTGTGTGGGGTTAGCACACGGTCGAGTTAGGGGCCACACACACACACTCTCTCTCTGACAAACAGACTTTGTAAATATGGAATTTGCGTAAACTGTGAGAGGTTGAGCTTTAATGAGGATGTTTTCTTGGTATGATTTGTAAAATGCTCTTTTTTTGTAAATGTTAACAACAGTCATCAAACGTGTGTATGAACAAACACACAAAATAAACATTGTGTGAAGCTTCATCCTCGCTCTCGTCATCCTCGACCTCGATATCAGACTTTGGACTTTTACATTCTGCATGTTTTATTTGCAGTAAAATACAAACAGTGAACCTGGCAACCTTTTATTGGATTTATTTTCCTTTGCCATCAGACCCATCGTTAAACATACTTGTGAGTCCAGCAG